TATAGGACATAAAAAGACATGTGTATCCGCTGGCTAACGCTGATTACATCTGGGCACGTCTGGGCTGCCCAGACGTGGTACCTCAGACGTGGCACCCCAGACGTGGTACCCCAGACGTGGCACCCCAGACGTGGTACCCCAGACGTGGCACCCCAGACGTGGTACCCCAGACGTGGCACCCCAGACGTGGTACCCCAGACGTGGCACCCCAGACGTGGTACCCCAGACGTGGCACCCCAGACGTGGCACCCCAGACGTGGCACCCCAGACGTGGTACCCCAGACGTGGTACCCCAGACGTGGTACCCCAGACGTGGCACCCCAGACGTGGTACCCCAGACGTGGCACCCCAGACGTGGCACCCTAGACGTGGCACCCCAGACGTGGTACCCCAGACGTGGCACCCCAGACGTGGCACCCCAGACGTGGTACCCCAGACGTGGCACCCCAGACGTGGTACCCCAGACGTGGCACCCCAGACGTGGTACCCCAGACGTGGCACCCCAGACGTGGCACCCCAGACGTGGCACCCCAGACGTGGCACCCCAGACGTGGCACCCCAGACGTGGCACCCCAGACGTCTGGGGGGTAAAATATATATATATAAAGAAAGGTGTGTAAGAAGCTCCGGCTCGAGGCTAACTTGTGGGAACTCCGTAACTACTCAGACCATAACTCATGTCGTTAGTTCGGCAGCAGTAAGAGCCCACCCATCACTCTTCATATAGCATTTTCCCCACCAGGAGAAATGTTAAAAAAAAGGAAATAAATAAAGTTACCAATAATTTACGAGAGATTGTTATAGATGAAAACAGATTGCTACAAATTGTGTGGGAAAATGAATGTAGTTGAGAGGATTGTGATCATCAGGGTCCAGCATATGAGGTGTGAGCGGTGAGGGTTCCCTACACTCTCTCAAATCGAGTTAGCCAAAATTATACCTTTCGGTGCACTTTATTTTCTTCGAAGGGGATGAGGCTTGTAGCCGCGCGGTGTCTTACCTTGTTTCTCCTGGAAACACATTGTTGTTGGTCTAGATAACAGTATTTACGAAGATATATTATAACTTTCTTATATATAAAATTACGTTTTCCAAGTAATAAATCAGGTCAGTGTTGGGGGAGTATATTCGGCAATTTGTATTTGCGGGGAATGAGCTACGACTCTTGGGTCCTGCCTCTTCAACATTAATCGACTGGTGTATATTATTATCCATAAAAACTCTTCGGAGAACACACCGAATATTTCATACTTGACCCTTTGAAAATCGCCTGGGGGGTCTTTATAAATGCTAATACTTCTTAAAACATTTAACTTAGGCCTACTCTAACCGACCTATGTCCGTTACATACCCAAGACCAATCCCCCTGCAAAGTTGGGTGAGTAGCCCCTAAGGTTCTGGGCTCCCTCTTTGGACAATCACATTCTCTCTTAATAAATATGGATAAGAGAGAATGGTTCGACTTGAGAATGGTCCAGGACGGACCGAAACGTCGTCGTCCCTTCAACTTCTAGTGTGTGGTCTGGTCAACAAGAGAGAATGGTTGTCTGTGTATGGGGTTGGAGGCCAGACACTTGGTGCAAACTTTACCCAACTTTGCAGGGTGAATGATATGAGATACGGGACGAACATAGGCTGGTCTGAGTCAGTGCTATTGGGCAAGGGAGGTCGGGTCCAGTAGTGACCCCCTCCCAATATCGGTGACACATGGTTTGCCGATTCCCTAGATTTATTCAATGGAAAACGACGAGCGTGAGTTCAATGTTACATTTTCTGAGACAGAGATAAAGGGGAGAGTGGGTAAGAAGGAAGGAGAAGGGAGTGTTACTAAATAATTTTCATCATTTCAAAAGCGGACTTTATAAAAAAAATCATCCTGGTTCAAGGCTTTCGCGACACTGGGACCCAAGCAGCCATTGTCTGGCCATTGTGTGATCGTCTGGTACAATAGTCCAGACGATCATCGTATTAAAGCACAATTTAATCAGGTTATTTAATGGAATATAAGCAATAACGGGTTTGGAAACTGAATTGCTCTATCACACAAGTATTGTTTTTTCTTTTAAAAACAATAATACAATATGTGGATACAATACAGAGAGGAAATATCCTCACAGGTTATAGCCTAACACAACCGTGGTGATATTTTTTAAATCGACTGACCAAATTAGTTTTGTAAAGTGACTTCTGCATTTATCAAAAGACCATTTTGATACTGTTCTTGTAAGTAATGATCCTTAATGTGTGTGGTAGCTAATATTATGTTGTGAGGAATCCTGTAAGATATGGGGTTAAGTCAGAATGGGAAAATGTTGTAAGTAAAGTGCCTCAAGGCTCTGTCCTGGGGCCTCTGTTAGTCATGATATATATATAAATTATTTAGATTCAGGTTTTCTGAATCAGATAATATGCCTTTTCACGTTCTCGCGAAAATAAAACTTAGATATAATGATGTTTATAGCGCTATATTCTAGTATATTGCGTCCACAGTTGTCAATAAACAAGATTGTTAGTCACCAGGAAATCTACTTCCTTCGTTCACTGCAGCTTTCACTATTCGCGATGACAGTGAACAAGCCTGTCACCGGCCGGCCAATAGGAGAACAGCAATCATCCACCATCGCTTTACTTGGCCAATAGGAAAGGCAGCATTTTCGTAGATTAGACCTAATAAGGACGGAGTCCGTCCTTTCCACCGAGTGACACTCTGATTGGTTCTCACTCCGTTGTTCCGAGTGACAGGGGACGTGATTTAGACCAACTGGACACATGACTATGACGACGTCCGACCGTCGTACGATAAGAGCGAGATAACGCTAGAAATTTCACAATTTGAGGCGAAAGGCATTGTCACAGGTATCAACCCGTCCTCGACTCAAGTCCATTACATCCAGCGGTCAACCCCACAGACGCATTCATAAATTTTAACATGCTGTTCATTCAAAACGGGAATTTTCGCAAGTATAAATTAATACTATAATATATTAGCATATTGTGCATATATAGGTATAGGATAGGTTAGGTGTTTAGGTTCTGTTGGCGATTATTTGTATTTGTAGTACGTGGGTGAAGCATTTATAGCGTTGTGATTCGAACAAAATTCGTCAGTGAAACACTTGTTCCGGATATGTTCGAACGTCAGCAGTTGTGAGTCGTGTGTAAACCGCTTTTCATTCATAAACAGGGGGTTTGGCGGGTGCATGGAATCACTTTTGGATCTTTGTTTGGAGGACGGGCTGCAGGTAGGCTACCATTGTTCGCGGGAGACCTTGTTCGCTGATACCGTTGCTCACGAGTAATTATCGTCAGTATTTTCATTAAAGGATTTTCTTTCAAGGGGAAGCTAGGGTCGACTTTTTATTTATTGATTTTTGTCTCGTGTGTTTAACACACAACGTATCATCGTGGTGTACAGTTGGTAGAAATACTTTGTTTCTAAACAAATAATGGGAATAATCCTGCCTGGTTATGATTTGCGGTAGTTTAAGCGCTAGTAGTTGTGGTTCACTTTGTTTTATTAATTTGTTAGGAAGTCTAGGACGCCTGTTTTTTTTGTTTAGTTAACTGGAAATTGGACTGAGACTGTTAGTCGTTTCCGTAGATATATATATATTGTTAAATAATCCCGTTACCGATGAAACAATAAGTTGCTTGACCAGACTACACACTAGAAGGTGAAGGGACGACGACGTTTCGGTCCGTCCTGGACCATTCTCAAGTCGACTTGAGAATGGTCCAGGACGGACCGAAACGTCGTCGTTCCTTCACCTTCTAGTGTGTGTGGTCTGGTCAAACTACTTCAGCCACGTTATTGTGACTCATCGCCTGAATAAGTTGCTTAGAGCTTCACTACTCGTAACTAGACTACAAATCAGTGCCCTTCACTGAATACTGCTGGAACGCTTGGCTAACTCCTGCAGCAGTCTTCAACACAACGGAATCGATCAGTGAAATATGCTGGAAACTATAAGTATAAATCATCATTTTTTTATAATATGGGACAATTATTTGTTTCCTCTTTACAAACCAGATATTTTACGTATCGGAAACTAGAAATTGGTTTAACTGTTTTATGAAAATGCAATATGAACCTGGCAGTGAGAGTGGCCAGTGAGTGAGTTTGAGATGAGTGAGTGAGCCAAAGCGGCACCTGCCTCGCCTTAGGCTTCAAGACGGGATCATGAGGCATCGAAGGCATCTTTATTCCAACATTCCGGTGAGTTCCTCGGCCAACATGTCTTTAGATTTTGTAATATTGATAATTTGTTGCTTCTTAAGCCACTCGGAAACTTTTTTCTTTAAGAAAAGTTTAATTACAGTTGTAATGCCACGAGCCTGAGATTTTCAGACATTTGTAGCAGAATGTGTCTTGGGAAATTCTTCTAAAGTTTTCTAAAGATTTTCAGCCATTATATCTTGGAAAGTGAGTCATTGGGGAAAAAAGTATTTTGTTTTCCCCCTCTTGAAACATTCGGCCACCTAAATTTCATGTTGTTAACTATGCATTTAGAGAGAGAGCTGGAAATTGGTGTTGTAGAAAAGAACGGCCGTTTATAAGCGTTTAGTATGACGAGATGTGTTGATTGAAGGCTCTTCTGGTAATGTACAGTGGCATGAACGAGGCTTTTCCACACAGTGGATGATTTAGTGGTTAACTGTACAATGGTGGTCTCTTGGTAGGGGAGCTCGTGTGGCGGTAGTGTTCAGTAGTTTTATATTTTCTTTCATATTTCTCACGTTTTTATATATTTTACAGATTAAATTCCTGCCTTCAAAATCAACGCCAGTCCAGAATATATTTTACTCGCACAATTCACACACGTACTCACAAACTCTGTATAAACCACAATGAAACACCCACACCCTCTTATCAATCCGCTTTAAAACAACTCATAAACCAACCTCAGACATGCACCAGAAAGTAATAACCGACACCACTAGCCTAAAGTGCCGTAATAATAACCTCAACTTACAGTATATTTTTTTCTCTCAACCACCAGTCGACGCTGCTGCCGTCAGGAGGTCCTGGGGGTGGCATGCGTCCCAGAGTCAACAAGCTGCAGACACTCGAGGCTAAGGTAAGTGTGTCTTGTATGATCTAAAGTGATTTGTTTTCCCCTATTGTTGTCTGTTGAAAGTGGCAGCCTAGGGACGGGGTGTGTGGGTTCAGGCGGGAAAAAGACGTGGGTGGGTGGGGGTGACTTCGGTAAACTTTACTTGGGTTGTAATATTCTAAGTGGGTGTTGCAGAACATGTTGGGGTTTATTACTGATTGTTTGTCGTTTTTATTATTCAAATTTATGTATGTCAAATTGTTACAATAAGTAGTTTATCGGCAATTTCATATAAAGCGAAGACAATTTATTTCAAGACTAGATTTGGTCATTTTCCATATAAATTTATTGCCGCTAAAGCTGAATTTATAATTATCAAAAGACGGAACCAGGCCGAGAAGACTATGCATATATTTTGTTTCTGTGAGAATAAAGTTGTAATTGTAAATTGGGTCATAAATAACTATAAAAGCTTTATGCAGTAAAGAATTGGAAGTGGTCTTTACGAGGTTTGTAATGTTCTCATATTTACATTATATGTTAGAAAACTAAGAATACAGTAATTTTGTTGATTTGTGACTACATATTCTTTATATAGATGGAAAAAAAAGAGATATTCAGTTGAACCCATATTACTGTTTTTAAAAAGAAGAATGATATATATAATTTGGGGTTTATAATGTGTGCTCTCGAGAGGTATAACTGTGTTCCACAAATAGTTTTAACTACTGTACAAGGCTTATACTGACCTTCCCCAGGATGCAACCCACAACAGATGCCTAGCTCCCGGGTACCTATTTTACTGCTAGGTTGAGAGGCTGCAAGTAAAAGGAAACGTGCCCAACCATTTTCCTGCCCTATCTGGGGGACTGAACCCGGGTCCCCTGGTTGTCATTCGAGGACGTAGACTGTTATGCTATTTGAACGCTGGCACCATATGAAGCATTTGCATCTTAAAGCATATATACAATATATTGACCAATAATTTCATGTATTTAAAAATAATTGACAGAATGCAGAGGTGATGCAGACAGGTGATGAACCAGACAGAATGATAGCCTAATGACAGTGTGTGTGTGTGTGTGTGTGTGTGTGTGTGTGTGTGTGTGTGTGTGTGTGTGTGTGTGTGTGTGTGTGTGTGTGTGTGTGTACTCACCTAGTTGTACTCACCTAGTTGTGTTTGCGGGGGTTGAGCTCTGGCTCTTTGGTCCCGCCTCTCAACCGTCAATCAACAGGTGTACAGATTCCTGAGCCTATCGGGCTCTGTCATATCTACACTTGAAACTGTGTATGGAGTGAGCCTCCACCACATCACCCCCTAATGCATTCCATTTGTCAACCACTCTGACACTAAAAAAGTTCTTTCTAATATCTCTGTGGCTCATTTGGGCACTCAGTTTCCACCTGTGTCCCCTTGTGCGTGTTCCCCTTGTGTTAAATAGACTGTCTTTATCTACCCTATCAATCCCCTTCAGAATCTTGAATGTGGTGATCATGTCCCCCCTAACTCTTCTGTCTTCCAGCGAAGTGAGGTTTAATTCCCGTAGTCTCTCCTCGTAGCTCATACCTCTCAGCTCGGGTACTAGTCTGGTGGCAAACCTTTGAACCTTTTCCAGTTTAGTCTTATCCTTGACTAGATATGGACTCCATGCTGGGGCTGCATACTCCAGGATTGGCCTGACATATGTGGTATACAAAGTTCTGAATGATTCTTTACACAAGTTTCTGAATGCCGTTCGTATGTTGGCCAGCCTGGCATATGCCGCTGATGTTATCCGCTTGATATGTGCTGCAGGAGACAGGTCTGGCGTGATATCAACCCCCAAGTCTTTTTCCTTCTCTGACTCTGACTGACTGTGTTCTCTGACTGTGTGTGTGTGTGTGTGTGTGTGTGTGTGTGTGTGTGTGTGTGTGTGTGTGTGTGTGTGTGCGCGCGCGTGTGTGTGTGTGGTATTAAGAGCCTGAGGGAAGCAAACACTAGAGACTGTAGGGGGTAACGATAAATGTTTCAATAGTCCATTAAAAACACATTAGAAACAGAGCGAGTAAATCTTCTCGAACACAAGCATAGGTCCAAGGTTGCTCAAAGCTTCCTGGAATATACCTGGGGAGGGTTTCGGGAGTTCTTTTGCTCTCAAAGTCGGGCTTGGGCGTCAGGCTTGATTTGTGATAACTTAATCTAAAAGGATGTTGGTTGAAACGGCCCACAAATCTATTACAGTTCGGCACATTTTACAGGAACTTTAATTGTTTCCTGAACACTGTCTAATTGTTTCTTGACCACGTTCGCTTTTGTTCGGGTAATATTTTTTGCTGGGAGAATGTCGAACAACCGTGGAACTCTGATATTCATGCAGTGTTCTCTTTAGTGTTCCTATGGCCCCTTTACTCTTCACTGGGTCTATTCAGCATTTCTTCCCACGTCGTTAGCCCCAGTATGTTATCTTACCATACAAATTTGGGACCTGGCCCTACCGTATGGTCCCTCTCTCGTGATGTTAGTCTGTTTCATTTCCATGCATATTCCCCTTTTCCCTACTTAATTCCCTATCATCAATCCCCATTACTCCCCAGCATTTTGACTCGTTCGAGGGGAAAAATTACAGAGTCGGTTTCCCCCAAGCCAGCCAGCCCCAGCAAATATTTGCCGGACATATTTCAAGCACAATATTAGGTGATGACACCGTCCTTGTCGCTACAGAGACTCGAGGCATTCATTACGTCTGAAAGCTACTCGTCGAAAGAGGGTGTTTAGATCCTCGTAAATACCTATCACTATATAAGCTGACGGTCCTGCTGTACTCAAGGGCTCTATCACGGTGAGTAATGTTTTCTGCCAATGGAGGAGTGTTTTCATCGAGTCCCGCCATTTCCTGCGTTTTATCGGTAACTATTGGCTAGGCTACACGTTAGCGTGAAATAAACGATTAAGGAAAACTTATAAAACCGGGTAATTATAGTTTGGATAAACGTGCCATACTTCTTGACACGCGAATCCTGGTCGGGTCATAGAGTGATCTTGGCGCGCATATATCAGTTGATGGGGAAAGAGAAATTGTGAAAAAGTAGATGTTGGTTAAACAGAAAGACGTTGGGAGTAGGCATCACTTATATGGGCATTCTAAATTAAAACTTCAAGCTTATAGGCCCATCAGCCTGACTCAGCCTGACTTTCAGAGCTACACAACTGGTGGGGGTGACATTAGACCAGCCTGTCTTCTCCAGTTGTCACAGCGGACACAAAATGGTGCACTAAATTACTCGAAACTAACCTAACTGACGGACCCACGCACATGAAACGTGAATGTGAGCCGCTGTGATTTACACTGCATCATATTTTGTTCGTTGGGGATTTTGACGTCAAAATGCGATGTATTATTGGACAGGACAGGTTGATTAGACAGCAGACCACTATAGCCTATGATCCAGCAGCCAGCCAGCTGTCTCAAGTCTAGTTCTCTCTAAAATATCTTCGGACCTACAGGACGTGCTAATGTTGACCAGACCACACACTAGAAGGTGAAGGGATGACGACGTTTCGGTCCGTCCTGGACCATTCTCAAGTCGATTGTGTGAATTAAGTGAGTCACAATCGACTTGAGAATGGTCCAGGATGGACCGAAACGTCGTCGTCCCTTCACCTTCTAGTGTGTGGTCTGGTCAACATACTTTAGCCACGTTATTGTGACTCATCGCCTGCAATGTGCAAATCCTACTGTGTGGTAGCAAAGGGAAATAAAGAAAAAAAAAGGTTGAGGAAATGGAAGCCCACGATGACTAGAGGACTCAGCGCTCCTGGTCCATGTCTCCGGCTGACGAAAGCAGGTAATCACTGCCTCTGGGGCTGTGGTGTAGACGGACACTCGATCCATTTGGCAGCTTGAGCATTAATGACTTTGTTTTTCTCTCGGACGAGGAAGGCCGCCAAGTATTACATTCTTTGTAATTAGTGTGTTGGCCCGAATGTGTCCGTCTTTCTGCGGAAATTGAACCTAAGCTTGAGTGATAGTGAAGTTGATATCTATCCAAGCCTCAGTGATAGCAAAGATGATATCTATCCAAGCTTCAGTGATTGAAAGCTGGTAGTCTCCGACACAGGTGACACTGTCCCTACTGAGAGTCGTGAGAATGTTGACAAAAGTTATAATGCAAAAAAAACATTGAATTACAATATCTCAATTTGAAAGAATATGCAAGCGAGATCGTTAAGAACTCGCAGTGATACACAATTGCAGTCATCATAACTATGATTGTCATCAGCATTTTCTTGACGAATCTTCAGTCCAACCCACAATATTTAGGCGGTCGTATTTGCCGACAACATGTAACTTGATATAATGAACCCTCCACCAATTTGCAACTTAGAAACCTACGAATTAGCAGCCAAGAAAGTCGACTAATGTAGAGCGGACTAATCTGGAACCAAGGAACCACGATCAATGAAGAGTGATCCAGGACTCTCGTTCCTAGTGATCCAGGACTCTGAACTCTAACAGCCCGTAATATACTTATGTCGGAGAATATTTGTACGCGGTGAGAGAGGAGACAATGGTGAACTTTGATCTCAAATTTGTTACTGAGGAACACGACCTCTTACTTTCCGTTTCGTCAGGAACTTGTAGTGTAAACAATAAGGTGATTTCACCTGTAGTTTATCTTGAGGTGAAGACCTGAATGTGTGTGTACCTGGGCGTGGCCGCACCTGGGTTTGTGTATATGCTAGGCTTGTGTATGCCCTAGGCTTCTGTATACCCTAGGCTTGTGTATACCCAGGCGCGGGGCACCCGGACGACATTGCTTAGGGGATAACACAACAGATGATCAGATACGCTTCAGAGGGGGCTTTAAAGCGCCTGGTTATGGCGCTTATATTGTAAAGAGGTGGTGAAAAGTTTTAGGCTTTTAATGTTTACAGATTTGCTTCTTTAGAGTCCATATTGTATCTACTTTTCAACGGGGTTATTTTGCACATCTTGCCATGCCTACTGGTCTCATGTGGTGTTATTTCTGTGTTCTGATTTGGA